ATTAAAAGCCCTGAATGTGGAGCACCTGAAAAAATATTTGGAAGTAGCCCAAAGGTGTGGAAATGAGAGCAGGGGCAGGGTCTGAGGTGGTGTAAATCAGGATCATCTGCTGGGCCTCCTAAAGCCAAATAACAGTTTGTAACATCCGAAGAGATGACTCTCCTCTAGAGAGCGATGCCTTCATGTCTATGGCTGCAGGCTGAAATCCCAGCCCCACTGTAGTCAAAGCAGGGGACTCATCCATTACCCTTCACACCTAAGAGAACCATCTCCAGCTAACAGGTAAGCAGAACCCCAGAATCTCTCCTTCCAACCACTTCCTAACCTATTTAATGAGTTACAACCTTCAGTTCTCCATTTCTTCAAAGCATTTACCTGCAGTGTATGACCATGGGGCCTTTACTCTTGGCTGACTTCTGCCTGACCATCTGTACAAACTGGAGGATGCTTTCGGCAGCGTTGGTCGTGGGGACACCATGATCTGGCCAGGCAGTGTAGTTAAAATGCATCACGTCTTGCACCTCATCAGCCTAATGGGAAAAGCAAAACAGCAGCACATGTAGACAGGAGTTTTTAACAGTGTAGTCATGTTCAATCACACTGAGGGGTTTTTTTGTCATTTTTGTGGTGGGTTTTTTCCCTCCAAATGCAACCTATGAAAGTAAAGTCAGCCAAAAAAAAAAAAGTGGCAAAGAATTTACATGCTATTTGATTAAAAAGAGAAGGGGGTATCAAGCCATTGTTAGAAAAAAAAGGAACAAACTCATGTTTCTGGATTTGTGTTTTGCTTTTTTTCCTCATGGTGGTTTGATTTTATTTTGCTTTTAAATCAAGTACTGTTGCATTTTTCAAGTTTAGGCTTTACTCCTCTTTCTATTCCATTCCCCTTCCTTTTCTTGTTTTGCCACAGATAAAGAACAACGCTGTTGGCAAACAAGAATGGGCTCTTGAGAGTATTTATTTTCAAGTTTCAAAGAAAAAAAAATACCCAAAGGGGAGAAAAAAATCATTACAGGGAAAAAGGAAATATTTAGAAAAAATACCCATTATTACAAAAACCAAAACAAAACATTTACAATGCTAAGAACTCTACTGGCTTTAGGTGAAAGAAGGTCCTCAACACAATACATTTTGGGTTTGAGACTTAAAGGAACCCAAAACACAGGGAGGGATGGGGGTGTGTGTGCTGGTTTTGGCTGGAACAGAGTTAATTTTCTTCACAGTAGCTGGTGAGGGGACGTGTTTTGGATTTGTGCTGGAAACAGTGTTGGTAACACAGAGATGTTTTCATTATTGCTGAGCAGGGCTCACACACAGTCAAGGCTTTTTCTGCTCCTCACCCTGTCCCACCAGTGAGGAGGCTGGGGGTGCACAAGAGGTTGGGAGGGGACATAGCTGGGAGAGCTGACCCCAACTGACCAGAGGGATATCCCAGACCATATGATGTCATGCTCAGCATATAAAACTGGAGGTAGAAGAAGAAAAGGGGGGGGCATTTGGGGTGATGGCATTTGTCTTCCCAAGTCACCGTTACATGTGATGGAGCCCTGCTGTCCTGGAGATGGCTGAATTCCTGCCTGTGATGGGAAGTGGTGAATGAATTCCTTGTTTTGCTTTGCTTGCACACATGGCTTTTGCTTTACCCATTAAACTGTCTTTAACTGAATCCACGAGTTCTTGCACTTTTACCCTTCTGATTCTCTACCCCACTCCATCATGGCAGGGAGTGAGCGAGTGGCTGCATGGTGCTTAGTTGCTGGCTGGGGTTAAACCATGACAGGTGTCACCACCAAAACCCATGGCAAGCAATGTCTTTAGATTTGCCATTCTGGGTCAGGCTAAATTCCCTTACTGCAGTAACCTCTCTCCAGTCACAGGCAACAGCAGATCCTTAGGCAAATGATAATTAAAAAATGAGATCAGTACAAAAGACCCTGAAGTAGCTGCCCTGGGTTTGGTAAAGGACAGTTTGCCTGAACTGCAAACTGCGATCTCTTCATTATTTTCAATGGATGCCAGCAGCCCAACACATCGTGTTCTATGCGTTTGCACTCCTAGCCCACACCCTGGACATGCTTCGTAGTGTAGCGAGGCATGGCTGAGCAGGACTAAGGTCCTGGCCTGATGGCCATGTGCCACTGCCCAGCTTTTTTTATATCCCCTCCATATCTCTAACCTTTCCCTCACAAGCTGGTGCTGGCAACTAGCTGATGCAGGAAGCAAAGCTGGAAAGAAATACTTGAAAAATCTGATCAGCTTTAATTTGGAGATTGCACAATCACATATGTGTTTCAATACTTTATAGGAATATAGGAATATTGCAGAATTGCCCTTTTGAAAAATATTTTCAATTTCTACATTGCATTTTCAAGTTTTGAATCGCTTACAGCAAGAAGATGTGCCTGAAATAAAGTTTACACATTTATTATCACTAATTATTGGCACCACAGAAATGTCCAGAACTCTGGTACTACTGTTGTTTCAGTCTTGCACTTTACTGAGAAATTCACAGAGGTGACAATTTTAGGGCAAAGCTTTGTGATTTAGGTGTTTACCTATATGGAGTGAGGGTAAAGCCATCAATCTTTCTCTTAGGCATTTTCCACTGAGTGCCAGAAATGGACAAAACTTAAAGAAAAGTCTGGATCAAAATTACTTCCACTCTTAGAGTAGGGCCATGCAAAATGTTTCACTTACATAGCTAATTCGGAAATTCCTATAAACCCAGTCTGTGTGCTCCTCCTCAGACAGCATCTCCACTGTGATGTCCCCATACGCAACAGGATCTTCCGTAAAAGGCCAGTAATGGTCACATTTCACCTGAAAGGGAGATCAATACATACATATTGGTATTTCTATAAATATATATATGCATATATAAAAAAGCACAATAAAAAGTGTACTGAACTTCAGTTATAGAAATGTCTACAGCACTATTTATTTGATGCTGCAATAAGAGGTAATATCCTGCAGTGACTTCCAGCCTGATCATTCCTCTTTGTGTAACTGTGGACATAAACTATACATTGGTTTTCCGAAGGGTAGCATTAGTGTAGTGAAGAATGGAAATACTTAGTGTCTTTGTAGATTGTTACTTTTCCTAACAGAATGGGTCTAAAAGGAACAAAAATATACATATTAAAAAAATTATATTCCAAATGTTTCTCTTATAATGTCAAGGAAAATGTAAAGCATAATAATTGCATTTTATTATTATTTAAACTTCAAAGCCCAGAAACACAGAAGGGTTGAGGTTGGAAGGGCCATCTGGAGGTCATCTGGTCCAATTCCCCCTGCTCAAGCAGGGCCACCAAGAGCCAGCTGCCCAGGACCATGTCCAGATGGCTTTTGAACATCTCCAAGGAGGGAGATTCCACAACCGCTGGGCAACCTTTGTCAGTGCTCAGTCACCCTCACAGTAAAAAAGTATTTCCTGATTTCAGATGGATTTAATGTGTTTTAATTTGTGTCCATTGCCTTTTGTCCTGTCACTGGGCAGCACTGAGGGCTCTCTTGTCTCCATTCCCTCCCATCAGGTATTTATACACAGTGACAGGATCCCCTGAGCCTTCTCTTTCCAAGAGTCTCCACTCTCTCAATCTCTCATGTGAAAGATGCTCCAGTCCCTTAATCATCCTGAAATACCTGCCCTAAAGGAATGAAGTGTCATTCCAGGTCTGATTATGATGCTGCCTCATGATCCCAAAGCAATGCAAAGACATTCACTCACCAGAAAACAAGTGTTCAGAGTAGTTACTTTTATATTATGTGCAGGGATTTGTTACATACCCTTCTTTTCTCATTGCACTGAGTGAGCATAACAATAATTTGAGATTTTTGCTGGAGAACCATCTTCCAAAAATCATTCCTAGTTTCTGGCAGTGGTCCTTGGGTTGCAATGTATTCCTGGGGTGAATTATAACCCTAAGAAACAAAGAGACAAATGCTGTTTACCAACATGATTACTGATTCAGAACACAGATTTTTCTCTGGCACACATACTTTTTAGCTTGCTCAAGTTTGCTCAAGTTCAACTTGTACTTTTAAAAAGGGTTTCTAATACAAAGAAACTACTTCTTTTTTTTTTTATTATTTATTGTGAGTTTACAGCTTTTGCCAGTTTTTGATGCTCCTCCTGAAGTGTAAGCAATCTAGAATGAAGGACAGAAGATGAAGTTGTTACTATACAAATCTTTTGCCCAGAGAGGAGGAAAAGCAACATTAAAAAAAATTAAAAAAACAGGTAATGCGAATCCTAAACCAAAGTTCCAGCTCCTCCCAGATTTCATAATTTAAGACTTTGTTTAGTTATGGACATAAACCCCATTACAGATACCCAGTCTGCTCATCCCAAGCAGCGTCTGTGGTGATTTTCAGTCACGAGTATAAACAGAAGGTAGCAATGAACAGGATTATGTGCATGTGTTTATGTCATAAGGACTTAAATGAGTAAAATACTAACTAGAATTCTGCTTAAAATAATAGAGAACATGCTGAGTCAGCACCCTTAACAGATTATTATTGCTATGTTTTATTGAAACTTAGATGCTTTAGATCCCTGTATTCCTTCTCCTATCCCTATCAACATGCTTTTAGTTGGAAAGACTCCTTCCCCGCTCCAAAACCAAAAGAGCATTATAAAGACTATAATAAAAGATCCACAGAAAAGCCATTTTGGCATCTGCTATAACCATATTTGCTGAGATTGTATCATCAAAACCACATTTGGAAAGTTATTTGATATTCCTAATGAGAGCAAAAGATACATCCAACACACAGCATGAGCTCATGTAAATTGGGTAATAATCTCTGCCGCCACAGTATGCGGATTGTAAAAATATTCATCATTTGGGAGCACTTCCCATAAATGGCTTCCTCCAGACACCTCTAGAAGTCCGTGCAATCTGAATTTTTGCACTACACAGAATTTGCTGGGATTTTTTGTCTGCATGGGCTATGACTGACCTAAGTGTCAAACCTGCGTTATCAGAGAGACACAGATCACCACTAGGAGATGTGTTTGGAGGCAGATAGTCAGTGGAGAAGCAATCGTCAGGAAAAGCTGAACATTAAGATGACATGTCTGTCCCAGTATCCATGGTCAGCATTACGTTATAAGTAGAACTAAAGAGATGTGAACTATAAAAAGCAGAACTACTAACTACATAAAATTCTGTTATCCATATTCCCATGTCACTGAAGTTTCCTGAGTTGTGAATCATAGAATGGTCAGGGTTGGAAGGGACCTTAAAGTTCCTCCTTCTCTGGGCAACCTGGGCCAGTGTCTCACCACCCTCACACCAAAGAATTTCTTCCTCAGATCTAATCTACCCTTGGCCAGTTTAAAGCCATCACCCCTTCTTCTATCACTCCCTGCCCTTGGCCAAAGTCCCACCCCACCTTCCTGGAGCCCCTTCAGATACTGGAAGGCCACTAGAAGGTCTCCCCGGAGCCTTCTCTTCTCCAGCCTGAACAGCCCCAACTCTCTCAGTCTGTCCTCATAAGAGAGGTGCTCCAGCCCTCTGATGATGTTTTTGAACACTGGAACATTTTTCTTTCTTGATCCACTGTGAGCTCAGGCACTTGCACCTTGAGTGTTTAGGTTCATGCTCTTAATGCATAGAAATGAAGTACAGGCAACATGCTCAGCAGTACACACATGGGCAATGCCACAGTGACAGAGAAGTGGTTTCACTGAGTCATCTCTCAGCTCCGAAGAGAAGGACTTGGGAGTGG